CTTGTAATGCTGTGGAAATGTGTGTTTGCAAGCTTTTGTGTGTGTTTGTGCCCGTGAGCTTTCGGTGAGTCACTTTAGCCTGTTGATGCTACGTTGCCGCTGCATTCCTGTTGGTAGCCAAAATATTACAGGAAAAATAAATTTCTTCTGTTTGTTCTTAAATCTAAAAGATTTCCTGCTTTGCTCCTGAAATATCTTTGGATGTTAGACTTGCTAATGAAAGTATTTGAAGATGTCACTTTTTTTGAAAATTGAAGTGGGGAAAAAGCTCTAAATCTGTTGTTTTAGTTCAGCTTGCAGCTGGTAGAAAATGACAGTTTAAATGAAGAAAACAAAAAAACAAAACAATAGTTTATACATTTTATTAGTGGTGTGGGTTTTAGAGATGCCCCCCAAGTGGCCATTCAAACTCCAGTGGTTTCTGTTTTAAAACTGTCTTCCGGTCATCCGCTAAGTGGAACCACAATTCTGTGTCCTCGTTGAAAGGCGAGAGTCTTGCGAATCACTTACCGTTAGATCAAATGGGAAATCCACAGATGATTCACAGAGATGAGTGACTTTGAGAAACTGAGACTTTGTAAAAAGCTTCTCCGGTATGCTCTGTGCCCTCACCCACCCACTCACTCACTCCAGAAGTAAAATTAAAATGAAGCATAAAGGGATCACAGAGAAGCAGCTGAGATGAAGGGTAAATGGAAATAAAAGGGGGGGGAAGACTTTTCCGGAGCAGGCCTGGAAGATTTCAATACCAGTTCTATCAACTGACCGTCTATTTCCAATGTGTGTGATCAGTCAGTGGCTCTTTTACTTAAAGTTTGCTCTCATAGACGAGGCTTTGTGAGGATGTGTGCATGTCATTACAGGGCCCTGCAAGTGGAAACTGTGTGCTTTGATATTCCCTGTTGCAGGCAAACCGAGTCTTGCTTCCCTCTGTTCCCTTTGCGCCAGTATTTTCCATTGTGGCATGTTGTCTTCATTTGCTGGACCAAAGAATCACTCAAACTTTGAGCTATTTGCTTAAGCCGCACTGCCAGGGTAATGTTTTTAATGCCTGGGTCAGGGAATGTTTTTCAGTGTGTCATAAAGAGTTTTGATAATTACCCACTTTCCATTTCGACAGAAGACATGTTTATCGTACTGAATGACCATCTGCCTGTTTCACTTCTGTTTTGCATTTTGGAAATCTTTTCAATATGCCTATGCTTTTGACATGCACTTTAGAAACGTGAGCTAACCCAGTCACAGTGGTCTCCTGCTAGATGTGAAACCTCCTTTCAGGGAAATTTAACAGAGCCCCTGATACCACTTCAATCACAATATGCAAATCTGACAACAAATTCATTTCTCACTTAGCAGTTTATTTCTAAGATTTAAAATCTGCCTGACATTTTGTAGCCACGCTTTTTTTCCCCCTGGGTTTGAGGTAATATCTATAATATTCTGGACCTTCTAGCTCGTTGTGACTCTTACCGAGCCTACGGGCAGACAGTAGTGGTGCTTAACACAAAGAGTTTTCTCTTTCTCCTGCATTCAAAAACAAACTTCTTTCGTATTTGTGCTGGAAACTACACAACAGTGTATTGCTAAAGATTGGATGAGAAAAAAGGTCTGCATGCATGGTGACTGGAAAAATTGTCCTCCCTCTAAGTTAACATCTTTAATCGTGCAACGCAATCGATGATTAAGAGAGGAGGCAGCACTTCATGGGTTTCTTTTGTTCTTTTCAGTCAGTTAAAAGATTTAAATCTGTTAGCTCCCAGAGGATTGAGTGATCTGATTGTAGCCTTTACAAGTAGGAGTAACTGTAGTAATGGTAGTAGGCTGACTGCAGATGTATATTTTGACTAGGGAGCCCCCCTCCCAGTCATCTGCAGAGGATCTCCCTTCGGCTGAGACATTCAGAGCCACAGTTACTACGACAGGCAGCGCTGAATCACTGGTTTTCTGTTGCACCGTCATGAACAATACCAGTAAACCTGAGAAAATACTATGGCATATGAAACTAGTCATAGCTTATGCGCGACTCAAACCTCTGTTTCACTTCTGGTTATTGATGTGTGGAGCTCCAGGTTAAATTGAAGCATAGATTATCTGTTGCTCAGTGATGAGGGAAATGTTTTATTTTTACAGACTGCGATGATTGCTCAGTTGCTTACTGTTGCTTTGGTTTTGGCCTTGTTCTCCTTAGAGATAAGCGTTTTGGTTTACTGACCTGCTAGCTCTAGTTTTTAGTCCACACGTTAGAACTTTTGTTATGAAACTGAAGCTGTTCCAAGTAGTTTGTTGAATTGAATGAGAAGGGAAACAGAAAAGAATCGTAAATGGGCAGAGGTGGAGTAAACTCCTTTTCCGTTGTATGTCTCTTTTGAGATGGAAAATCTCTTCCAAAATAAGTTCTGCTTATTTCCGACGGCCCCACACGAAATTGTCCAAATTTGCATCGAGCGCTGATGTAATATCGAGACCGAAGCCTCATGAAAATATTTCTGAAAGTTCATTTTGGGAAACCTCACTAGAGGGTTGTTGTTTTTTTTTGTTTGTTTTTTGAAAGAGAGCGAGAACAAATTGAATCGAAATGAGCGGAATAAGTGTAAACTTTAGCTGGGTTTTGTGAATTTTTATGCTAATTCCTTTTTTTTTTTTTTTGTCTCTTCTTACGTATTTATCGGTTGATAGATTAATGTTTGCCTATGCAACAATCTAATCAGTACAGCGGAAAGTGATGAGTTTTTGCAGACGCCCACTTAATGTCGGTCTGTCGCACTTCACACTATGTTGCTCATATTCCTGTGGTATTAGGGCAGATTCACTCCCTTGAATAAACAGAGCTTACCACATAACGCTTTAGCTGTGCAGAAGGCCTGTAAGCGCAACTCTGTAATGTGTACCTCTAATTTGATCCATCAGTGCTCACAGTCATAATTTTTCTTACACACTAAAAGCAATTTAATTACGTTTAGTGTAGTTAAGTGCTATTAAGATATATTCTAAATTTGATCTGGATTAAAAATGCAAGAAGTCAAATGTTAAACCTTTATTGAACTTCATTAAATTGGTGTTACAGAAATAAAAGAAACTCAGTCTATAGCTGTGTCATTTTATCAATACAGCTGCTGCTCTGGCGGTCCTTTAACAGCTGTAAGATGCAGTTTATTTTGAGCCCAGCTGCAGCACTTGTCTTTCAAAAGGTCACGGCCTTTAAAGGAGATCTGTGGTCCTCCATCAGAGCTTTATTTCACATGAGGAATTATGTGACAAAGCAATGAACCAGTCCACTTGCATGTTATACGTCAAAGTTAGACTGTATGCTCAAAGGTAAATGTTTGCTTTGATAATCACACGGTAGTCTCATAAGTGCGTGGTGTTGCTGTGAGTGTGAGAGTGTGCGCGCGCGTGTGTGTGTGAACATGGTTGACATGGGAAAGGAAGAGCCTCCCACGCTAACAGGATGATGTGAGTGATGGTGGCCAGACACAAAAGCGAACAGCAGAAAACACAAATAAAGTACACCAAGGCACTAAATTGCGCTTCTGGTCCCATGACAGACTGTGACAGACAATCATGTGTTCAATTTGAAAAAATGAACTTGAAGTACTCTTGAGTTTGAGGAGGCGGCGGTGAAGCTGTGAAACAGATATAAAGGTTAACAAAATAAATGTTAAGACTTCTTTGTTTTGCTGAATTTATTAAGGTTGTGTTGCTTTCTTACTCCACTTGTATTACTTTATAGCGTTTATGCGTGTTTGTGTGCGTGTTGTTAAATTTGAATATGGTTTCTTTTTTCTGAAGAAACGCTCTTGGCTGGTTCATTTGCTCATCGATGACTAAGTCGCTCCCTGTCACATATTTTAACTGAGTTACAGTAAAGCATTTGCTTATAAACTTCTCAGGAGTGGGGGCTTGATTTTGCACTACAGATGCACATGTGGACAGAGTGGGGTGGAGAAGAGCTGCATTTTGATGGGCATGCACAGACATATCTGCCTTTGAGTGCTGGTGTCACACTGGGCCAGAGGTCTTTGCTACACCCACCCAAACCAGTTTGCCGAGCCTGTCTTCTACACTCTGTGTTTTTGACCTGTCATCGTGTCATTTAAAACACTTAGGGAAACCACATGAAGAAGTCAGAGGATAAAAGGTGAACTCATACATGTTGTAAGAATGGAAAAAAAAAAAAGAAACATTCACCTCACATTTTCCATAAATTTAAAATAAATGAAAGTGTTCTTACTCTTTCTTTCCTCATGTCTTCCTCACCACGTCAAAGTAAAGCTGATTTACTTCACGGCTGGAGTTTTTACTGGCTCCCTGCTGTGTTTCTTGTGGTCCCAGTGTGAGTTCTGAATGGAGGCAGCAGATGTAAAACAACCATTCAGGCTGGCTGGAAAACAGGCTGAGAAAGACTTGCTTGTTATTTATTTAAAATCAGGCTCTAACTGAGTGTGTTGAGTAATTAACCTCGCTGTGCCTGAGTGCCTCTCCGGGCTCAACAACGTGTTTAACAATAGATTGGTTTTACACAACCTTTTTGCCATGCTTACACACCCCATGAACGGGCCTGAGGAAATGTACTGAACCACCATTAAATCTCTAATGAAGTAATGGACGGCCCCGCTGGTTGGCCAGCTGCACAGGAGTGTGTGTTTATAGGAGTCAATGTGCTGTGCTAACTGCTAACATTTCTTGGACTTGAACACTGTTTAGAATTGGCACATTCAGTGAATGGAATAGTTTCTCTCATTTGCTATGTCAGGAGAGATTATATCTCACGTCAGAGCCATGACTTTGTGACCTTTGTGTTTGCCAGTTTTTTTTTGAGTATTTTCTTTTTCCATTTTAATCTTTTGGCAGTTTGAATTTGCTATTTTTGTCCTATGAGGAACTCAGGGTGAAACTGCACTGACCTCTGCTGGAAAGAAATGCAAATGTTCTGACAATATAATATATTTAAAGTTTTGAATATTTATTAATATTTTTTTTCTGTTTGTCTCCCTTCACAGTGAATGAGATCATCGACAGAGACATGTCCCAGTCCCCCAACCAGTCGTAGCTCGGCCCTTGCGCCAATCCCCTGCAACTCGTAAATCCTGCCACTTCCTCACCTCCAGTATGGACCCAGGTGCCGGTCCGGGTGCTGGTCCTGATGGAAGAAGGGGGTTGAAGAGAGACGATTGTTGTCAACGGCTGAATACAGTTGGGAGAGTCTGTTCCAAACCACAAGGATTTGCAAGTTCACCAGCCTGAAGAAGACACTCGTCTGATTTCTTTTAAAACTGTTTGTCCTGTGAAGAGAACTTGATGCTGAACTACACAGATTTAAAAAAAAAAGTGAGCAGGAGGATGTTGTAGCCATGCCAAGTTAGAGCCAGGGTAAAAACTGTCAGAGAACAATAAGAAACCGTTAAAAAAAAACCCTTCTTTTTCTTCAGCTCTTTAATGATCAGGGCTGTCTGTGACCCTTCAAAGCACCCAGTCTTCCTGACCAATCAGTTCTCACCTCTGTGAGTCTTGAGCACTCAACTTTTTTAAGTTTGTCTACAAGAGACAACTTAATGCGCTGTCGTCGCCCTCTCACCAGCATTGACCTTTCTTATGAGAATAAGAGATGCTCAGTAGTGCACAATCACAATGAGCCAGAAGGCTGTGGCAGTGCTCTCAGTGTTGCCAATTTCTCAGGCAACACTCTTAAGCACCAGGGTGCTATAAAATATTCAGGGTTAATTGAACATCAGCAAAAGTGTGGCAGAACAATTAAGAGGTGAAATTGGCTTAATAATGATCAGAACACCCATAATTATTTCAGAAAAAGCTTTGCTAGCCAAGCTTTGCTGTCAGGCTGAGTGAGTAAAATTTGCTGTAATGATGATGTCCACTCTTTTTTTCCCCTTCTTTTCCCTCCTGTAAATGATGAAAATATTCAGATTTAGAGGAGCGGGGTCCTGGCAGGTAGAACGAGCTCTTGTGGCACCGGTCTCTTTCGGATCTGCAACATTCCACAACTTTTTGTAATCTTGCAGCCGTGTAGATATCTGTACATTAATTCCCATACACCACCATACCCTAGCTTTTCTTCTCCTTTCTCCTCTGTTTCTTTGCCTTCTTCACATTGAACAAATGCCTTATTACCAGTTAGGAGCTTTCAGTGGTGGCGAAAGCTTTTTGTTTTTGTTGTTTTGCACAGCAGGCTTTAAGTTTAACTGTTTCAGAAACTGATATGGGGCTCGGATTATGCGGATGTGATTTCAGGAATCCCGATGAGGGAGAGTTGGAAGATGCATGAAGACGCAGATTATTTTGGTGTTCGAGAGAAGTTTTTTCATTGGTCCACAGACACAGAGCTTTCTGCCTCTGAAATTTCCCCAAATCTCCCAGGGCCCTTTGTGTGCCTTCAGTTTCCTAACAGCAGTCATACTTCTAGTGGTATGAGAGCTGAGGCAGCAATTATGAGAAAGTATTTATGCATAAAAATGTTTATGTATTGCACCCTGTTTAGCAATGAAAGCTGAAATCCAGGACTCCAGAAAACAGGAATCGGATGTATCGGGGGGGTATCCCACATCCCTCTATTAAAAACAATCAGTCTTTGCTGATAACAATCCAAGACTCCTCCTTCATCCAGGATTTATTCATTCCCATTCTTTCTCTCCTCGCAGATGTGCAGTGCCTGTACGGCGGCAATAACAAACCTGAGGAAAGAGCATCTTCAGGCAGGTTTTTAGTCGGATATGATGTGGATGTGAACAGACAGATACTGATTTTGATTTGAAGATTTCCACTGGTTTCTGCCTTAAGCTTGACAAGGGTGAGGAGAGCTCAGGAGTGTTTTCTTTAATTATGGTTTGAAGTGAGTTTCCAGGTGAAAATGATTATGCTATGCATTCAGACTCTGCCTAATGCCTTTACATAAGAAAAAAGACAAAAAAGAAAGACCTTGATGCCTGTAGGAGTAGACTCTAGATGTGTTTTAGATGCTTGATTGATTCCGTTAGCATCCTGGATTCGTCCATCAGCCAACCTGCTTTGCCGAGGACGCGGTGCAAGCATCTTAATAGGTTCAGTTCTGAGTGAGTGTGCAGATGAGTGTTTGATGTTCGTACCAAATATGCTGTACAGAAGACAGGAATCTTAAGAGTCCTACTTTCAACAAGAGAAGCACACACATGTATTTTAGGCTATGCAAATTGTAACAACAGCAAATGTGAGATATGATGTTATATATGAGAAAGGAGATTATAAAATAGGTGTAAAGTCGCTTATGAACTTCACAGAGAAAAAAAAACAACCTTCAGATAGTGCGAGTATCATGTCACTATGTAAACTATTAGAATGCCTTAACTCTTGTTTGAAAACCAGTTTTCAGTGTGTCTGTATGCTGTTCTGGGTTGTTGTTATTTTTCTATGCGTAAGACATAAGTTGGTAACTATTATTGTTATTTTTGTTTGATTTTTTTTTTTAGGGGGAATTGTGGACTTTAAGGGTGGGGTGGGAGGGAAAAGATGTTTTGGGCTTTTTTTGCATAAAGCTGCTTCTGCAGTTTGAAAGACGCGAGTCTACAAAAAAACACAAAATAAAACAAACAAAACAAGCAAAAAAACCCCATAAAATTAAAAAAAAATTAATAAAAAAACTAAAAAGAAGCAAAACCAGCATTGACAGTAAACTCTGGCTGCTGCCCTCGTCTGTCATAACCAAAGACCGAACAATATGTTCCCACTTTACATAATAGTAAAGCAACAGAGACTGTACAACTCTATTTTTGATACTTTGAAATGGATGTCATTCCTAAAAAAGGTGGGGACATGAGCGTCTCATATAATAATAAGGGAAATACAGGTTTAGCTTATGTTTACCAAGCCTTGTATTGTCATTTCTTGTATATTTTGTATGTTTCAATTTTTGTAATTTTTAAGACTGCAGTGCTTTTTGAAATTATTCAAAGGGAATAATACCTTGCATCATACTGTAGACTCTAGTGTATGTCAATAAAACCAAAAGCTCAGCCATGGCTTTGCATCACCTCACTTTTTTCATCGATCTCTCTGAGATACAACTTTATTTTATACAACTTGTCTTTATATTTTGCAAAGTTAATGGTAAATGGGTGAAGTGATTTTATTAATATTCATAAACATTAATCGTAAACATAACTGGAAGTTCAATATATAAGTCAAAAACACAGTTTGTACAGTTCCAGTGAGCTTAAACATCAGTGTTTTGATATTAGTTTTGTTTATTTAACACTCTTAGGCAAGCTTCCCATCCCTCCACTCAGACCATTTCTGATGAAGCTTCAGTGAACGTAGGTGGATGAACTGAAGAACCAGATTAATCTCTCAGCTCCTGCATCAGGTCTTGGAATTTCCTCCTTCTGAAAGGACATGCCTTTCAGAGATACTGCTCATCTCCTGTTGATAGTTTTTTTTTGTTTTGGGGTTTGACACAGGCTTTTTTCAGGTATCCAGTTTAGACACAACACTGGTTCATCTGGGTTAGGTTGCTTTTGTTGTCTTGAATGATTCATAGGTGAGTGTTAAGCGGCTTAACAAAGAAAACATTCACGTGAAACTGGTCAGGTACAAGTACCAGACTGAAAATACGTGAAAAAAGCAGAAACTTTGAAAGCCAGAAGAACTACTAAAGAGTATTTTAAGAAATGATTGTCTGACAAACTATAAAGAAATAAGGGGTGGCTCAAGACTTTTACACAGCAGCCTACTGTACTTGATAAATAAAAGGAAACACATATGAACATCTTATCTTACTTTTTTTTTTACCCAGACCAGCTGCTGATAACTCAGTTGTCTGGTGATCAGCATCGATTTTCAGCAGGATCAGCTCGTCTCTTTTTGAGTCTCCTCTTGTAAACTTGAGTCGATGTCTTGAGCTGTAATCATAAAGCGTTAATGTCCGTATTTGAAATCGCAGACTGGGTTTTACATTCGCTAATAAACTGATTTCCCGTCTGTGAGGATCTGCACGTTCACTCTGCAAAGGTCGTGGAAGCATCAAAGCAATTACTCAGTTTTCCGGGATCTATTAAAACATGTGTACTCATTTTTTTTGTAGCACGTGAAGGGTTTTGTTTCCCGGATGCAAAACTGATCCGGGACTGTGACTTGTAGCGGTACCAGTTGGATTGGACGGGCACTGATGTGGTTACAAAGCCGAAGTCTCGTGTCCCGGACTTTCTCTGAAACCATTATAGTTTTTGTTTTGCTTTTTTCCAGTTTCTTTTTTTAATATCATAAAATACCTTCTGGAGTCTGGTCTCTGCACTGAGCAGATGTGCATTTATTTGCGTACTTATTTTAGCATTTTTCGAATCACCTTTAATTTCAGTGATCAGAAAGAGTGCAGGTTCAGTCGCAAATGTCCCCACTTTCCCCGAAATTAAACTTTGCCACTTTTGCTGCTGCTGCAGAGACTGATTCTTTGTGTCGTCTCTCTCTACAGTTGTTCCACTCACGCTGTGCCAAAGATGTCCCGAAATTAAACTGAAGAAGGAAACGCATTTCAGTTGTGGTTATGTGTCCGTCTACGTACGCGTTTCCTTTTGCTCTGACACCTTTGAACCTCTGAATTTCGGTTCCCAGAACTACGTGAAAAATTGAAACCGTTCTTTGGCGCCATCTACTGAAACTTTAACGTGCTGCAGCTGGCGGTAGCGCTCACATCTAGAATTAGTTTTTTTTAAAATCTGCTCTTAATTTGAAATAAGTCTAGATCCAACAGGTCGCCTGTTGGGTTGTTTCTTTTGAGAATCTCTGATGTCCACGCTTGGCTTGCTCTACAATTCAACAGGACTTTGTTGCTTATTTACAGACATTCTTTTGACCGCTTCAGCTGTAACAGGTAATCAACCCATCTAGTCTTAAGGGTAGGGTTGGGCTTGTTTTACTGTTTTTTAATGGCACATTTTCAAAGAATAGATCCTTTCAATTTTCTTCTGCTTATCTAGTTATCAATACCCTGGACAGGTAACCAGTCTATCACAGAGGTAAGGCAGAGATTCATGTCCACATTCACACCTATTTTTGGACTGTGGAGGAACCCACTTAGACATGGGGAGAACATGCAAACTGCACACAAAGGCCACAGACTAGATTCGATCCCATGACATGACAGCGTTACAGTGGCCGCAGGTTTGTCGGCTACACATCCGCAATGCGAATCTTCCACCATCTTTGTGATGTTCCACCATCACAAAGATGCTCTATTGGATTGAAATATGGGGATTAGGATTGTGGAGCTTTATGACACCAACACAGAAGGTCATCTTGACCTTATATGCACAATTGGAGTGAGTTGCAACCATTTGATTGGCTAATTAGATAACATTTATAGGCAGGTAAACAAGTGGACCTAACAAGATGGCCTCTTACTTTAAGTGATAATCCAAATGCCTGTAGGTGGGTTGATAGTAGCCTAAAATATGTTGAGGTTGAAATACATCACTCATCAGCATTTTGAGAAAAAAAACAAACAAACAAACAAAAAACCCAAAACAAACACCAGGAGTAGAAGTTACTAGAAATCAGTTTTTTGCATTTGTCTCTAAATAAGAACAACTAACACAGATCATTGTCAACACTTTTTATTCTTTACAGTCTATACATAGATCTAAATTCAGGCAAGTCTCAAACTTGCTACAAAAAGAAATATCTCCTCTGCCACCAGAGGTTGCCCTAGCCTCTTTTGGGCCAGTATAGCCCTCTGGGTGATGTAGGCGCAGTAAAGGTGAAAAACTAAGTGAGCTGTCAGAGGGCCTGCCACAGGAAAAACTCATGCAGCTTTACACAGTACTCTGATAGGAATTAAAGCATGCTACAGACAGACATAAATATTCTGGAGACAAGAACAAAAGACATACAGTAGCTAATTATAAACAACTTTAGGAAACACATGTTCATTTGATAACAAAATCTTAGTTTTTGTAAAGAAATGACATTAATAAAAATATAATTATTTTATTGTGCTACTCTGTTAAAGACACTCAGTTCTTCAAGTCTGACTGAAGCAAAAAGAAATCTGTAGTGCTTGGAAAAAGTCTAAATAGGATGACAGTATGTTGTACATAAATGTTTTTTTTTATAGAAAACAGTTGTGCATTAGTTGCTCCTGTTGCACAGCTGTGTATAAACTAGTAGTCCCTGAAGCTCAAAGTTATGTCAAATTAATTCATGACAGTTTACAAGTACAAGTGTACAGTTATACTCTCTTTCAGTAGTCTAAGTCACACTTTATGGCTTTTTCTCTTTTCAGTGTTACAAATACACTGCTGCAGGCCACCAGATAATAAACAAAAGCCTACGCATGCACGCAGCTGTGCTTGCACAGAACGAACACACAGGAAATCCCACACTGCTGCAAAGTGAAAATTTAGAAATATACATAAATGACTGTGTGTAGAAGTTTGTTGTTTTTGTATTTTGTTTTTGTTTGGTTTTTTACAACCTCAAGCATTCCAGGATGAACATCTGTACAGTTTTATGGGGAACACATGCAGTGTGCATTTAAATGATCATCCACATTTAGGTTTGTCCACACTCCTTACTCTCTCTTCTCCACAACCAGCTATTACAGTTGGTGCAAACACATAGAAATGCTATACATGACATCCACAAAGTGACATGAACCTGAAAATCTGAGCGTAAGTAGATGCTCAAATTCCAACAGCAGCTTCAGGAGTGCCAGTACCAGTAGTGTCAGGTGTGAAAAGCAGATCGTGGAAAAATGAGAGGAGCAATAGCTGTTTGACAGAGTATCGGAATAACCGGAGGTTGAAGAGGTGTTTGCAGGAGAGTGCTCTTTGGTGGGATGCTAAATTGAGCGAGGTGGAAGGAGATGGAGGGCTAGTGGTCAGTTACAGAAGGCCAAGTGGACCTGCTGCCCATAGAAGGGGTGGTTGGAGCGCTCGGCTACAGCCTGCCTGGCGATCTCCTCACTGGGGAAGGTGATCAAGGCCTCGCCGCTGCATTGCCCACTGAAGTTATACAAGATGAGAACGGCGTCTGGCTGAAGCTGCAGGGGGAAAAAAAAAGTGATGAAGTCAGTAAGTGTATTTTTAATGTAACTGGAGCATAAAAACACCAGGGGGAGCCCACAAAGCAGAGGAGGAATAATGCACTGGGAAAAGACTATCTCATCAAACCGGTCCAGTCAGAAAGCAACCAAAAGTTTGAAGAGAGAAGCAGAGCACATGCTGTTCTCAGAGACCTGAAACCCACAAGGCAGGTTTAGATGCAACACAATCATTGGTTAGTTTGCATGCATTCGGATCCTGCACCAAAATCCGCTCAATGCAACAAAGGAGCTTGCATTCCTTCAGACATGCAGGTATGTATCAATCCACTGATCACAACAGCAGTGACAGCAGCAACAATCCATGAAGCTTTATCAATCACATGTCACAGCATTACAAAGGGAGACAGTCATAACATTTTCTTTTGTGAATACAGCCAAAAGTAATGATTGACAGCATGAAATAGACTGGATCACTTTAACAGTGCAGAATCATGATCAGCTCCTACTGCAATTTATACATCAGTGATTCAAAGTCTAAATACTGTCTTGGAAGTACTTGTTGACAATTTTAAAGCTAGTAGCCATTTGTATCTGATGTCGTGCGACGGCCAAAACAGTAAGATGTTAGTCAAGTCTAGGACATGCACTCTCCCTCCACTCCGCTGCTCTAGTCCGGAGGCTCTTCTTACCTTGGGGCGAGTCCCTAAAGACAGAGCCATTCTTTGGGCTGAATCAGACTCCTGGCCTGTTCGCTCATCTGAACCACGCCGCTGTACTCGTCAGGGGCATACTACAGATACAGCATAATGACGGACACACAGTCAGGGTGGGACCCCTCCACATTGTTTCACACATGGCAGTACACAGTTTTGGGAAAAATATGTTACATGTTATTTGAAGGAGGAAAAACAAAGCACACACACGCCTGAGTAGGTGTCATTTTAACTACAGAGTGTTTAGTTGAGGGGAGTGTGTGGTAAA